AATTTAAAAAGTTCTATTATCCTTTATTATATTGCATGTTTTTTTTTTTAAACAAGGTTATAAATATGAAAAAAAGAGGATTCAAACCTTAACTTTCGAGTTGGGAGAATGCACTTTATAAACCGATTTATGACTATTATATTGCATGTTACTTAATGTAAAACAAATAAGAATAATATAATGCTTTCTACCGACAACACCCATTATGATGACAAACTTTAATAATTTCATTTTACTACTTTTTGCATCTGATTTTTTCCAAAAAAAAAATCTATTTTATGTTCTTTTGACATAAAATAAGGAGTATTAATTTTATAATAATTATTAATTTTTATTTTAAAAAATAAAAATAATTTTCCATTGTTATTGTAAATATTATATATTAGATTTTTATTGATTAATTTTAAATTAAAAATTAAAAATTATTTTTAATATAAATTTTATTTTTAAAAAAATTATAATTATTATTTAAGAATGATTTTTTAACGCTATACTCTTGTAAGGATAAATAAACCTTCAAGAAAAGATGCAATCTGAAGAGCACATGTGATGACACAACAGACAAAGTGCATTTGGTGCCATCATTATTATTATTATTATCATTATTATTATTATTATTATTATTATTTTGGAGGAAATTAGTGCAATCATTTTGTGTACAAAGAAAATGAAAAGAGAAACAGACAAAGTGCATTTGGTGCCATCATTATTATTATATTTGGTGCCATCATTATTATTATTATTATTATTTTGGAGGAAATTAGTGCAATCATTTTGTGTACAAAGAAAATGAAAAGAGAACCATAGAAATGATAGCAGAAGCTTGAAAGCCTGTTCGACATTGAATAATTCCGCCAATTTTTGTCGTTGATTTTGGTTCTATTTTCTTCATTACCATGACTAGAAGCAGTGAAATGTTAGACTTTTGGGCTTATGAGGTTCTATTTCTATTTTCTTCTACAGTCATTGTTCCCTTTCTTTTCTCCTTGTTTTTTTTTTTTTTTACTCCTTTTTTTTTAATCCAATCTCTTTCTCATTTGGTGAAGATAATGTATTGCTAATTGCTATTGCTTTTGTATCCCTTGAAGATGACA